CGAAAGAAAATACGGTATGAACATTTCAAAAGGAGGGTCATTTCAAGCTTGTTCTAATCACATCAAAACCTCCCGAGGAGATATTTTCAGCTCAAAATACCATTGGCGTAATCCGTAAAACCTTTCCTTGCAACAAACGTACTTTTCTCTATTTACCTGACAATCATTTTCTGTAAGGTATGAACCGCCGTTTCATTAAAACGAAGCAATCCAGCAATGCCTTTACACAATCCAACTTAAGAGGAAACGACTTTAGTGCCGGCAAAGGCACGCAGGACGACAAAAGCACGGATGTAAACAGAGGCAAACATGCCCTTAAACGCAAGCCAAGACCCGCTGAATTAACAAAAGCACAGGTCAATTATCTGTGCGTTAACAGACAGCGACAGGAGAAACAGAGAAGACCGAGCAAGTTGTAGATGAAATAGGAGGTTAAGCAACCATCTGCACCTTATCTTCCTAGGATTTAATTTTCTACGCACATTTTTCGAAACTCCATTAACAAGACGTAATCAGCAGTATACATACCTCACAGTATTGAACTCCGGAATACGCGCAACCAACACTTGAACGCTACTTTGTCCTTATAAACTTCCTAGTTATATTCTTCTATATCTTTCCTACGTGCTGCCAAACGCCTTCTCACGATTCTTGTATCTCCAATCCTTTATATGGTGCCGGGTCTGTGGTGTTGCCGAACAGCAATTATTACGACAATTTTAACTGGATTATTTACATTCTTTTTTGTCTTTACTTCAGCATAACGGCTTCAGGGTGATACTTGGTGGTAACACTGATAATTATACACGAAGTTCAAACCATAGCAGCCAAACGGACGATAATAAACGAAATGGTTACTAAGACAGCGCTCACGATGTTGCCGTTACAGGTAAAACCTTAGCTACGCTTAACCTGTAAATGACATTGTCCCTTCCTCGCTTTCTTTCGGTACATAAGTGTGATTATGGCCTAATGATAGCATGCAAATATTTTTCGCTATTTTATTTTTCTTTCCTTTTTGTGTGCTGTTAACTAAACTGATCCCTTTACAGCTGGTAAAACCGAACTCTAGTCCTTCCAAAGCGCCAACTAAGACAGTGCTTACATCATGTTACGAAATACACGTTTCCCGGCCTCATGGTTTCCTGTCGCATTGAAATCTTAGGGTAGCCTCACTCTAGTTGTGTTTTAGTTATATTAATACGTTTTTTTTTTAGTACTCGACAACGTAAGAAATAGTCGATTGTTGAATGGTCAAGAGGTGGTACATGTAGCAAGGTATTTCTTTATCTTTCGTTTTCTTGGCTCCTTTCTCTTGATTCTCGTTGTGTATCATGCTGTTTGTTGATCTTTCATATGGAAGTGAAGAATATTTCTCTCCCTCTCCTGTCGTTCTTTCGCTTAACCCTCTCTTACTCTTTCTCATTCTCATTCTCCCTCTCCCTCTCTCTATCTCTACTAATACATCTAATCTCACCCGGTGCGTGGCGCTGTTCCTTGCACTCAATGAATGAATGAAAGATATTTATTTAATGTGTGAGGATACCAGACCAATAAGACATATGAAGTCAAAATCGCCTGAAAAGCCATTTGAAACTTTAACACATTAACACTCCCACTGCGAGCAATTCCATTTGAGAATCATTCACTCATAAACATGATCGTCCGCTCTTCTCATCCACAGGGCTATTTTGATGATTGCTCTATGAAAATATAACCATTAAAATCATTATTTCCCATCCTTTCTGAAAATTGAAAAGACCAAAATGAATAATAAACCCCATGTCCCTCTTCCAAATATAAAATCGCAACTTTTGTATCGTCATCAAATCTAGACGTCAAGACACCTCGAGTTGCTGCTGATCTAGCCTTTCCCTATCCGAGACGTCCCACCAGTAAATATAAACAACATCCGGAAGGTAGATCACACTTCCGTCCCCGCTGCATCACACCTACCACGCCTGAGCCTTGTCTGCCCAAGTAACTTTCTTCCCCTCGAGCAAGCCTGGCGAATTCACCCCCTTTGTCGCGGCCGGAAGAAACTGACAAAATACAGAAGCTGGCACCTGCCCAGGAGAGGAGCCATACATATATAGCAAGAGTCCAGCTCTCGTTCACTCACTCTGAAGTAGCGAAAAAAAACGGAAACCAAGACCATTTTCATCACCGCCCTAATCTTACGTGTCGTGTCGTTAACAGAAAACAAAAACTTTATTGGAGCACAAAAGGTAAGGAGGAAGCGTAATGTCTAGAAAAGAAAAGCTGTAGGCCTACATATGTTTATATGTGTTTAATATTACCCTTTTTTAAAGTAATATCATTTTTTTTACTTATGCTATGATAAATGAACTACACGAATGTCTTTCATGCTGAGTATATGTATATGTAAATGTATGTATGTATATATACACATATGTATACATACATATAGACATGTAGACATACGTATATATTAATATATATATATATATATATATATATATAATATATATATATATATATATATATATATATATATGTATATATATATAATTTATTTATTATTCATGTATATATATACGTATGTATATGTATATATACATAAACATAGGTGTGTATATATATATGTACATATGTAAATATGTGTACATATAGATATATATTTATTTATATATAGGCACACGCAGGTCGACCAATCAGACCCCACCTACTATGGGAGGACCAAACACAGATGATCACCCTGTAGCCTCGACCACGAGAGAACCAGTGCCAGAAGCTTCAGTCTGACAGGTGCTTCAATTAGTGTTAGAAGCTTCAGTTAGTGTCAGAAGCTTCGATTGGTGCCAGGGGCTTCAACCAGCGTCAGAAGGCCCCGTTTGGCTCCCAAGCGATACCCACGCTTCTTCCATTCTCATTCTCGGGATATTCCCGCCTCACTCTTTCTCTTCTTTTCTCTCTCGTCTTTATTCTACGTCTATATCTGTATCTCTGGTTAATATGTTTTCTCTTTGGTGTTTTTCGTTGCTCTCTTACTATTTGTCTCTTCCTTTCCCGAGTTTTCTCATTTCTCACTTTATATATTTTTTTTCTCTCATTTCCCTTTTTTCTATTTTCATCTATCTATTCTTGTACATTGAGCAGGTCATTAAATAATTTCAGTAAGGATGCAGATTTTATTTCTTCCATTAGCGATATAAAACAATCTTTATATAACATACATAAACAACATACAGGCATATATATATTCATAGATTTCATGTGGATGCGTGTGAGAAAATTGCAATTTTGCCATCCCAGTTCTTATTGCTTTTGTTTTCATGTTTGTTAAAATCGTTTGTTTAGAACAAACTTTATCAATTGATACTTTTCCATTTACGATCAGGTTTCAGTACTCATTTACATAAATATAAATATATACATATACAGTATATGCACATATAGATATTTAGATATCTATATGTCCATTCATATATATAGACATACATCCATTAATACACACACAAACTTAAATGCGTTTAAGCCGCTCGCACACAAGGAAACGCAAGAGGTTCCAAGACCATTTCCCTGCGTGGGGGAGGAGGCTGCATCTCCGCAGAATCAGGCCGGGGCGTTGTTGGCCTCTCGCTTCGGAGGCTGGGCGATCAGCTGCGAGAAAAGGACCGTCAGAGAAATTCTATTCATTTTTCTATTTTATTTGTTTTCATCGCTTAATCAGTATGATTAATCAAGAAGGGGAGGAGGGGATAAGGAGGAGAAGAAGAAGAACCAATAGAACCAAGACGAACCAATAATAAGACAAAAAAAACAAAAAATCGGGCGGGAAAAACAACCAACTTACGGTTTTACGGTATTTATGGACGACGAAGAAGCCGAGGCATCTTACACCAACACCAACCAAGCCACCTAGTGCAGCGAGGCTCATGGAGGAGGAGGAGATGATGGTACCGACCACAAAAAGGCCAATGTTGACGCCTTCCCAACACATCCAGGCGAGGAGGAAGGGCGGACGCCGCTGGAGTGACGGAGGATTATCATGTTTTTATGCCTGTCTTTCCTTTACATGTCTGTTTCTTGTAACTAAAACAGTATGCATGCATGTGCATTTATGCATGTTTGTATGCATGCATGTCTACGCATGTTTGTGTGTGCACGCGTGTGTGTGTGTTTGTGTGTTGTATGTCTGTATGTGTGTGTGTGTCTGTAAGTGTGTGTTGTGTGTATATATGTATGTGTGTTGTGTGTGTGCGCGAGCGTATGTTTGTGTGTGTATGCGGATGTGTGTGTGGATGTATATGTGTATGTGTGTCTATGAGTAAGTACGTGTGCGTGTGAGTGTGTGTCTGTGGATGTATACTGTATATGTATGTATGTGTATGTATATATGTATGTATGTGTGTATGTATGTATGTATGTATATATGTATGTATGTGTGTATGTACATATGTATGTATGTGTGTTTGTATATATGTATATGTATATGTATGTATATATGTATGTATGTATGTATGTATATATGTATGTATGTGTGTATGTATGTATGTATGTATGTGTGTATGCATATATGTATGTATGTATGTATGTATATATGTATGTATGTGTGTATGTATATATGTATGTATATATGTATGTGTACGTATGAATACCTTTGTGTATGTATATGTGTATGTATGTGCATGTGTGTGTGTGCATGTGCGGCTGTACGTTTGTCACTAACCTTTATGGCTCCGTATAAAAGCAAGGAGATAAAGATGATTGCAATTCCAAGTACACTACACGTGATCAAAACCGGGAGACCAACATCTGAAAAAATAAATAAATAAATAAAACTATTTTAATAGAAACTGACGTGACCTTATGCAAGTGACATTTCCTTTTAAAGGCACATTACAGAAAACTTCTACAATATACGTTTTCAACCACCAATTTTTACTTTGCCATGACCTACTTTCTTTTTACTTTGCCATGGCAATTTTACTTTGCCATGACCTACTTTCTCACCACCAATTTTACTTTGCCATGACCTACTTTCTCACCACCTTTACTTTGCCATGACCTACTTCTCACCACAATTTTTACTTTGCCATGACCTACTTTCTCACCACCAATTTTTTACTTTGCCATGACCTACTTTCTCACCACCAATTTTTACTTTGCCATGACCTACTTTCTCACCACCAATTTTTACTTTGCCATGACCTACTTTCTCACCACCAATTTTTACTTTGCCATGACCTACCACCAATTTTACTTTGCCATGACCTACTTTCTCACCACCAATTTTTACTTTGCCATGACCTACTTTCTCACCACCAATTTTTACTTTGCCATGACCTACTTTCTCACCACCAATTTTTACTTTGCCATGACTTACCTCTCATGTTTTCAATGCAGAGGAGTGCGATTAGCATTCCTACAAAACTCAGGGACACAAGCTGCGGATAATAGATTTAAATTAGCAACAGAGATCATTGCGTAAATCTGGTTCCCAACCTTTTCTACGGCTGCAGCCCCTTTCGATTTATAGTTTATTTAGGGATAAAGGAGGTTTCTACTAAATTTGATCAACAAAAGAAAAGATTTTTTTCATTTACTAATAATATATTAACAAAAGTCAAACACATGGACAAGAAAACATGTCCCAGATTATTTGAGTAAACCCTTCTTGATTATAAGTAATAAATAGATTAATTACTTGTCCACTAAACCGCAAAGATATCACAACAGATAACACACAAAACTCCGCAATATAACAGATCTCATCATAGGACAAACATGACACGAAGCCAGTCTCACCAGGTAGATGATGGCGATGGTGATGGCGCCAGTCCGCCAACTGCAGCCGCAACAGCAGGTATTCTCTTCCCTGGGATTCGCTGCTGACGCCTCCGAGGGTTCCGGGGCGGAAGGTACTGGGTGTGCGACCAGCTGAAGCTTTTCCTTCGTCGGGTATTCCATGCTGCACGGGAGAAAGGGAGTGTTATATGTATAAGGGCTGTCTGCATCTTACGTAACTATTGAACATATTTTACAACTTTAAATATTTTGTTTAGTTTTGTTTTATGTTTTTACCACAGCTACTAACTGAATTTTGTTGACGCATTTCTTTCTACCATCAAAACTCGCTTCTCTACGATCTACGACACTGCAGAGACATATGCGTTTTGGGGGTTGCCTTGGAGCGGGTCCGGGGGGCGGTGGAGCTCCTCCCTCCCGCTGACAAGGGTCATGTGCAGGCTAGGTTAGACTAGGTTAGGCTATTTTGAATTTAAGTAGGGTTGGACTGTGTCGGGTCTGCTTGATTTGAATTGCGTGGATTTGGTAAATCAGAAAGTGGCTTGCGGGGGTGCGGGGGTTGGGAGCTAGGAGAATGCCTAGACTAGGATAACGCTGCACAAATGTAAATGCGTGTTTATTTATTTCCAGGAAGTTTATATCACAAAGTGGTAGATCGAAACAAAACGTATGAACATTCCAAAAGCAGGGTCATCATACCTCGAAAATGGATGCCAGAGACGATAATCAGGTTTGTTCTAATCACATCAAACCTCCCGAGGAAACACTTCTAGCTCCAACCGCCGTTGCAATCCCACTAAGCCTTTACACCAAAGACTTTAGCGCCGGCATGACACGCAGGACGATAATAGTACGGGTGTAAACATAGGCAACCACGCCCTTGAACGCAAGCCAACACCAAAGATTATTTACTACGAAAGATAGGAAAGTTCCTTTGTTTACATGCCAACACCCTCTCCAATCCCGCTCTTCCGGCGAGTTTTTTTTTTTTTTTGACTCCAAGCTATCTTGGCGGGATCATATCCTTTCTATTAGAGAAAAAGCCCGCCATCGCCTCCGACTATTACAAACCCTCTCCTAATAAGGGAAACCTCTGAAAATCTGGCAACTAAATCGTTACTAAACAATTTCTTCAATATGTTCACAAAGGTGTGTAATATCATGTCTTAAAAGGTTGAAGTTCAAATCTTGTGGGAAACACCGATATGGCCGCCACAAAATCTACGACGTCCAATATCTTGATGTGTATTTGACTTAGATTTCTCATAGTGGTGTCTAAACCTATGTTTTTACGTCAAAGAATTCAATACTTATGATTCTGAGACAATTTGACCGATATTTTATTGAATAACAAGAAATCCAAAATGGCTGCCAATGCTTATCGTCTAAACAAAATGAAAAATATCATATCTGTATCTTACGCCGCGGGCCCCAGAACATCCCTCATGCACCCCCCCCAACAACTCTACAAACATGTGTTTTTTTCTGAAGCATTGGGGTCCCTTGATATGAAATCAACTGGTAACATTAAATAAACTGGGACTCACTCTCCTTTTTTCAGTTGTATTTTATGGTACCCCCAAAAAAGTTAAATTCAACCTATAACGCACAGAAATAAAACACCATTTTCTTACATTCTTTCTGATGGCTAAAACTACCAAAATAATTACAAAAATACATTAAAATAAACAGTAATGATCCCTGTTTACCCTCAAAGGGCTCATATGTTAGGTTTATAGCAAGTATGGCTGTCTGCGGTACTACTAAATAGGTGTACCATGGTATTCATGTGGAAAAAGTGAAATTCAAAGCATATTCTGACCTTGTCATACGAATTATATATATTTGTAACCTTTCTGAATAAATTTTCATGATGCTGACATCATCATTGTGTTTACTACTGGAGCAGTGTGCTCCTGTACGAGCCCTTATACACATCAAATGCACCAAATAATTCCCAAAATATGTATATATATTAGGGTAAGTTTATATTATATACATGTAATATCTTTACGAACTAATGTGATTTATTAGAAAGTCATATGTTGCTGGTAAACTAGAGAAATCTAGGTCAAGGCATGTATTTATGCATGGCTGTGTCTATTATATGCATTAAGCAATATTATATGCATACAGGATTTATGTCCAGTTTTTCTTACTATGGAGGCCTATATGACATGTTAATAATCACTCTAGGCTTACATAAAATTATGAAATTTATATAAATGAGATGAGGGGTCGTCTGACCAAAACGAACATTGTTGTAAGACGTAAGTTTATATAATCATTTTATTACGTAGGCTTTTTAAGTGCATAACACATAAATAAAAGTACTTCCTCAAGTAATCTCTTTTTTAGAAAGATTCTTGTTGTTGGTGTCAAATCCTATGTTTTTCAGGTCTAGGAATTCAATAAACATGATTCTTAGACAATTAAAGCAATATTATATTATAATTCATGCCTCATATTCTGCTCCAGAACACTGAACTCTAGCAATGGATAAAGACTATGTAGAATCACCACCAGTGCTCACTTGCTTCATATGTGCAGGCCCAGATACAGCAGCTGAGAGGCTCATACGACAAACACCAAAAAGCATGACACATTATGGGCAGCCATTTTGGATTTCTTAAGTTAATAAATAAAATAATGCTCTAATTGTCTCAGAATCATAATTATTGGATTCTTTGACTTATTAAAAAAAAAAAAAAAAAAAAAAAAAAAACATGTTAGGCAACACTATGAAAAATCTAAGTCAAATACACATCAAGATATTGGACATAGATTTGTGGCGGCCATATTGGAATTTTTTCCGGGGTTTCCCACAACTTTTTAAGACATGATATTACACACCTTTATGAACATATTGGTGAAGAAATTATTTGGTAACGATTTAGTTTCCAGATTTGTGAAATATCTATTAAAATGCCCCTACTATCCCACCTATCCTGGGGATCAGACCGCAAAAAAACTCCTTCATCTCCATTTTATGCTAATCCTCTCCACCCTTGACTATAGTTGCCATATATATTCTTCTGCCTCTGCCTCTCTTCTCTCTCTCTCCTTGAACCTATCCACCATTGCGGTCTCCGCCTAGCCCTCGGAGCTATCCGATCCTCTCCAGTTGAGAGCCTGTACGTTGAATCAGGACTACCATCCCTCTCTAGACGCCGCGTTCTTCTGTCCCTAAGAAACTACGCTCGCTTCCACCAATTTTCTCTCTCCAAACTAACTGTCCCTCAACCATTTCGTATCTTCTCTTCCTCTCTCTCCAACGTTTACCTGTCCCTTTCCCTGTTGGAATGGACGCTCTTCTTTCCCATTCATCCTTTCCTCATCTCCGTATTCTTCCTGTTTCTACCCAAGTTTTCCCTCCCTGGCTAGTACCTGTCTCTTGTAATTGCTCCTCTATTTTCCCTGATCTTCCAAAGTCATTCATTTCACCTTCTATCCTTCTCACACATTTCCTTGCTCATATCTCCAGTCACTCCTCTAGCACTCGTATCTATACTGACGGGTCTAAATCCAGCTCAAGTGCTGGTTTTACCATAGTCTTTCCCTCTCAGACATACAGCTTTCTTCTTCCACCTGAATCGAGCGTCCTTACAACAGAACTATATGCTGTCCTCTTTGCTCTTCAAGGCATAACTTCCATCTCTTCCTCACCATTCACCATCTTCACTGACTCATGTAACTCAATATCACTCATACAATCCATACACCCTATCAACCCTATAGCCCATAAGATACATGATTAGATATTCTATCTGTCTACACAACAGAAAGTAGTGGATTTTTGCTGGATACCCAGCCATGTCGGGATTTCCGGCAACGAAAAAGTAGATAACTTGGCACGATCTGCTGCCCTGCCCACAAGTCACCAACCCCGCTTTTCACACATCCCAGCCACCGACTTCTACCCCTACTTCAAAACCTTACTTAATAACCGATGGCAATCTTTTTGGTCAGGTCTGTACACCAACAAACTCCAAACCATAAACTCCTCAATATCCCCTTGGTCAGCTCCATACCATCAAAACAGACGTTGGGAAACTGCCCTTGCCCGAATAGGCCACACCAGAATCACTCACTCACACCTCATGTCACATTCCTCTAACCTACCTTTATGCCCTACATGCAATGTCCTATTCTCGGTCCCACATACCCTAATATCCTGCCCTCGCTTTGCCGAAGCCTGTACCCTTACTTTCCCTCACATATCCCTTCT